ACCAGGCTAATTACGTGACCGTGTTGCACCTCGTCTGGATGGATATCTGCCTTGGTAATTTCCTTTCTGATGTATTAATCCTTCTATTTTCCCTGCTTCGCCAATACGTGATCTCCATCAAAAGATGTCTCTCTATTTCGGCTCGCCGGCCAAACAATATTAAAATATTCCTCCATATATCAACTAATAGGCCAAATATGTTAATTGGCCATGCTTGCCGATCATGCAAGTTTAGCGATCACGTATGCATGTATATCTTCCTTGCTTTAGTCTTGCTGGTGACCACGTCAAGCTGCATGCCCTTCTCTTCTCTTCGCGTGAATAAATAATCGTCTGCATCTGAACTCTCGGACTTGCCTGGATGGCTTTGTATCTTTACCATGTCCCGCCGGCGGATCCATGTTCAAGCTAGGGGTTGCGATCGCACCCACAAAAAATCAGAAAAACAGTGATTATGTTCAAATTTTCACAATATATGCACCCATACGGTAAAAATATATGCACCCACAAAGCTAGCGCACCCTCTTTGATTTTGTTCTAGCTCCGCCACTGTGTCCCGGCCAGCACTTAATTAAACAAATCGGTCATCTTCCTGCTTCTCTGGCCATCGATCAATATCACGCTTCCTTTGGACTCTCACGCTTGATGCGTGTCACGCCAGCACAGTTTCCTAATTTGGCCTCCGTAGAACATACATGGAACGCCGCTTAGCTAGCCACATATGCACGTTATATCTGAATCTCTGAATTTCTCACGTACGTAGGCCATCAGATAAGTGACATGATGCATCTTGCTGTGTCGTCTCTTGCCAATTACTTATGGTGTAACCTTCCCTAATTGGCAACGGAGATAAACATGATTTTTCAACTAGACACTGCTCAAATTATCGGCTTTCCTCCGTAGACTTCCATCGGTAATAACTTGACCACATTTTGGTGTCAACACATAACATGAATAAGCTTCTCATAAGAGATCAATAGATATCCAACAACTCAAGTCTCTTTCAACATTTATGTCACATGTTTGTCATTTATGCATTCCAATTTACTTATCTTGGACTGATTCCTCATTTATACCATTTTCTTCACAATATAAGCCTAAACTCTATCAAATAAACATGGGACTAAAGACCTGTAATTCTCATGAAATTTGTTAGTTCTTTAATCATGTTGTCATTCAATCCACCAAAACCCACTTAGAGACTAGATGCACTTTCATGCTCTATATATCTCTCCACCCTCTAATAACTTCTTTATATCTTGTTCGACACTTTGAAGAGGCAACTCCACTATGTATCTTTGACAAACGAGAAATAAGGAAAAGAAGATGGGAATATTTGGCGATCTAGTTGGGATTTTCCACTAAAATCTCTATTCCTATCAATACCCGAAAAATATAAAGAGACTCTTGGAGTTGCTCTAAGAGCATCTCTAACAGTTTGGTAAGGCCACTCCCAATCTTGATTTTTTTGGTATAATGAAAACAAACCCTCTTCCAACGGCTCCATATTCTAACTCCCAACCTATTCGTGCACGAAAAAATGGAGGCATCCACTCACAAAATACCCATATGACATGTATTCTCTATTATGGGTGACAATTTTTTTTCTAGACATTCCGTCATCTCGACTGTCGCCGCCTATAGGTTCACTGGAGTCGAATCTCCAACACTATTTTTTAGATATGAGAATATTGAAAAGTAGAGCAGGCAATGAAAATCTTGTTTTGTAAATTCTAGGTGTGAGTTAGGTGCTAAGAATGTCCGGCTATGCGACGACTAGCGGTGACAATGGCAAGGGTGCTGATGTGGCACGCACGGCGACCAAAAGTCTAAGTGGATCTGTTTTTTATTTTTAGACAAAGTATTGGAAACTGTTAGTCATAGATTTTTTTTTCTAATATTTATTGAAAAGGTTGCAACACTATATTTTTAAGATTATTTTTAGGGCCGTTTGGATCATTTCATTTGGAGGAATTGGAATCTACTTAATAAATTAGGCTACTTAGCTTCAAATTTGATATTCCACCACTTTTCAAAGTTCACATATAAGTCTATCTCAAATTCATAGAGTGGAAGATGAAAATTGATTCTATATATCATCATTCTATGTTTTTTACTTTGCAACTTATAACACGATCTTCAATTCACTTCCCTACGGTAGAAATGCAACACGTAAGTATCTCTCTCGTATAGCCAACAATAATATATAAATATAATCCATATAGAACCATATTAGTTTAATTAATGTACGTCTAAATTATAATTATTAAAATGAATTCAATTCTAATGATCGCTCTAACCATTACATCACATAGACTACAAGATACTACATTTTTTTGCACACTAGCCTGTTTCGATTTTGCCTCCAAGGCAGCGCGTCTGATTTTAGACGCTTATAGATGTGATGGCTCTGACATGATACCTAGACCAATAGAGCAACCTACCTGAGCGAATGCCAACTATTCATGAGCGCTAGTATATCTGAACAAATTGAGCCCGATCCGGCCCGGCCTATGGGCCCAGCCCGAGCCCGATCGGTTTTGGTCTGCCCACGGACCTTACTGCACAGGGCCTAGGCATAGATCTTGCTGCCCAAAAAAAAATTTCTTAGCCCCAACCTGGGCCAAAACACTATTTTAGCTATTTTATAGTGTAAACGCGTGGCGGCCCGCCCAGGCCCGAGCCTAGCTCAAAAAACTAGATCCGACTTGCCCAATGGGACGGTCATAGCCAGGATTTATTCGATCTGAAATAACTGAGTGTTTATTTAGCCTAGCCCGATCCGGTCTGGCCCGCAAAATGTCCAGGTGTAAGCGCCTCTAGCTTAAGATAGAGTTGAGCGAGACAGGTGGGCCGCGCCACTCATCTTTCTCATTCGCCTCCTAGCCCACATAGGTTTATATATACACCCTGTTCCATAGGTTTATATATACACCATGTTCGCTTATTGGTTGCCGAGACTTATTCAACCAGCCAACGATATTTTTCTCTTAAAAAAAAATCAACATCAGCCAACTTAAATCAGCACCAGCACCGACCAACGAACAGGGCCATAGTGTATAATAATTAAATTATGATTAGTCGTATGTTTTCTCAACGAGTCCAAATCCAAAATCTATAAACTCGTCCCTTCCCTTCATGCACAGTTCTGCCGCGTGCCGCCACCGGCGAGGCCGCGAGGGACGGGACGAGGCGCCGAGCCGGCAACCGTCGCCGGCGTTGCCGACGGCGATTGGCTGCGGTTCCGCATCGAGGCTGATCGAACGCTGCCCTTCTGCCTCCCTCCCGGTACGCCCCTGCCCGCTGCCTCCATTCCGCCTTTCGGACGAAAGCATTTGCTTTTGGGCTCTTGATTACTGTTTGGTGTCGATTACTTTATTCATCGCCTCCCAAATCGATGGAAATTAGGAAGTCGCTGGTCTTTCTTAACCTGGATTGCTATGACCATCGTTGTAATTGGACTTCTGGTACTAGGCTCTTCACATTCTGCTTACTATATTTCTACTGTTGATGCCTCTAGATTGGTAGCTGGAGATGGATCTGCTTCTTCCGTATAAGATTGGGGATCTCGCGGAGTCCAAATCCTTGGTGAGCGGTTACAGGGGTGCATGGTTTCGCTGCAAGGTCAAGCCTCTTTTATCCCCCCTTATTACTTCTCTGCTCAGTTACCATACTCTAATTAAGTGTTACCTGCATTTGTTTGTAATATGTGGTGGCAGTGAATTACTAATTTAAACTGTTGATATTCGAGTAACCTTTCGTCGGAATTTCATATCGTCGCTAGTTAGTACTCCCTCAGGTTCCGAAATGTAAATAGTTTTAGTTTTGTCATAAATTGCTAACATTGACTAAGTTTATATAGAAAAATGCATGAACGTCCACAAAATAAAATTTAGTTTCATTGAATTTTCTATGAAATATGTCTTTATGGCGCTTTATTTTGTATTGAAGATATTGTATATTTTGTTCTAAACTTGATTAAACTCATACAAGTTTGACTTAGGACAAAACTAAAAATGGCTTACATTTTTAATTGAGGGAGTACAACATAATATTTCCTTGTTTCATCATGCATCTCATGAATCACAGATGAACATCTAGCAATGATGTTTCTGATTTTTTTAATGGTCTAGAATCTAGATTGAAGCAGTGATTAATATAATTAATAATCATTAATAAATAGTTAAGTTCAGTTTTAAAAGTTTTGAAAAATAGTATTTTCTCCATATATGAATCTAGAAGTTAAGTATCTAATCTTGTAAGGGAAGAGTCATATTACAAAGCCAATTTATAAAAAAGGAAACGTCTTGGAAGTGTCTCTTCTGTGAAGAGGCCAGGTTGCAGGCTTGTAGACTTAGTGAAGACAAACGTCATGAGTTCCTTCTTTGTATAGATTCCCTACCCTAGCTTTGCAGCTATCCTTGCGCTTGCATCTGCTGTTCTTTTCCTTTTTGTGCTTTGGCTTGGGTAAAGCCTCCCTTTTGTACAGTGCCTTTTTTTCTAATAAATCTCTACAGTGGGGGCCTCCCCTGCTGTATTTTACGTTCAAAAAAAAGAAAAGGAAACAGACCTGCCCATCCATACATTAAAAATAAAAGGAAACAAACTTTTTCCTCATTGTTTCATTCATCGTGCATCTCCTGAATTGTAGATGTGTATTCATAGTAGATGGAAAAAAGTAGAGCATGGGGGCTAACTAAGTGCAGCTATTTTTCAGATACATAATATGCGTGTCAAGTTTGGATACCTGGAGTGTTACTTGGAGTACATTGATTATCCCGGTGAAAGTATGCAAAGCTTTATCTTAGCTCTCTTGTGTTAAGCAATTGTTGTCTTTTCAATAGTGATACTAAAATTTGTGAACATTTCATACTGCTAACTTTTAAATTAGTGAACATTTCATACTACAATCTAACTTTTATGTACCTAGTTTACCTTCCTTTATTGTGAGAGAAAACAACTTTGTTAGCTGGTTGACAATCTATGTAATCCAAACCCTAATGATTAGAAGACCTTATAAGAATACAAAGGAACCACAAGAACTTATAGGCTTTGGCATCTATTATGGAAATGCCAAGTTTAAGGGTATTGCACCACAAGCAGGTACATATTTTGAGGTTTGGGTGGCACCCTTTTCTTCAATAAGATGTGCTTACCAAAATTTGTTTAGCACAAACTGATATGTAATCATGTTCATATGTTATCTCACAACAAGTGTTTGGTTAATTAGACTATAAATCTCAGTTTGATAAAAATTTGGTGTTGACGAAGAATATAAGGTCCAGATAATCCATTCACAGTTCATCATTCCTGTGTCCAGTTCAAAAGAACATAGGAACGTCAGCATAAGTGCATGACTATTGACATTAATCATTAGTTTTAAGCACATTATATTCCATTCCCCGTGCTGTTTCCTTGCAGAGAAGGAATGGGTTAGGCTCTTTCGAAAGAACCCTGCAAGGTCCAACCAAAACTCAAGAGAGAGTACTCAAATCATGATAAGGCCTTCGTTTCCAAAATGGTATTTTGTGCATGAAGTTCCTGAGCAGTTACCAAATAGTGATGTCACAGCAATTGTTGATGAAACCTGGCAAATAGGTGATCTGGTTGATTGGTTGAATGAAGGTTGTTATTGGTCTGCGACAATTACTAAGTTACTCAATGAAGATCTGGTCGAGGTAAGAATTTAACAACTTACCATGTTACTAGAAATTACCTGTTCTCATAAATTTTCTTGTTATTTTCATGTACCATGCAATAGATGATTTAAACTTTACTTCTCCAACTAGTTAGTCCTCTTTATTTTCTCGGACATGGATGAGAGCTGCATATCATTTCATCTAGTAGAAAGAAACTAGTTATTCCTTTGATCATCATTTTCTCATGGTTTTCTTCATTCCGTAGCCAATATTATAACCATCTACTTATTGAATATATCCACATGTTACTAAAACTGTCTACAGGTAGAGCTGCCGGAACCTCCTATAGGTGAAGGCAAACGTTATCATGCTAATTGTAGTGATCTGAGGCCTACTCTCGAGTGGTCTCTAGCAAAAGGTTGGACGGTCCCTCTTTCACAGGTAGCTGATGGATTTTAAATTCTTTCTTTAGATTATTTCTTTAGATATCTGTGTATTTAAGTGCTAGAATATATTGAGTATAGGTGACTCATGATTGTTTTCCCAGGGTAGTATTTACTTTATATTATAATGATGAAGTGCAGTTTCTGGCATAGTTTATTGTCTATAATATTTTTATGTATTGAATAATATGTTGATTTTATTGTTACTAGGCAAACGGAAAAGGTCGGCATGCTGCTCGTCTACTTCAACATTATAAATCTGGTACTGTTAATCTCTTGTGCATATGTTACTCTGATTGTTGCGTGCGTAGAAATGGTTGTCATTTGCGTTAAAAAAAATAGGAATGGTTGTCACGTGGTTAGCTAATCTGGTACTGTTAAGATTACAGCAGTTAGCTAATTTGTGATGCAAATACAAGAAATCCTAGTAGCATAGGATGAAATGTTTTTCGACTAAATGAAACTTACAAACATAGCATTATAAAGAAAAACCAAAAAAGATTGCATATCTCCTTTTCTCCCATGCCTCTGAACCAGCGCTCGCAAGCCTGCAAAATTGTGTTGCATTTCATCTCTTCCTTCCTTTTCCTTATCAAAGCTGGGCTATTTAGTTAATCCAATCCGTTGATCCTTTTTGCCCTTCTTTACATTGTTTGTATAGGGATCTGTTGAAAAAAAAAGGACTTTACTGTGATGCCACTTCCTGCAAATTATATATGTTGTTCTAGCAAAGATACCATCTTCACTGATCTATCTCAAAATGTTTGCAGAATCAGATGATGAAAATGATGACAATGATAGCTGGGACGCCCGGAAATCGTTGTGCAGAGCTTCAAATACGCCTGAGGAAGCTCCAGGTCCCATGATCCCTGCACCTCCATCAGCCACAAACAGCGCTTCCAGCCACATCTATCAGAAGGACACTACTGTCACGTCCACAGAGGACCTGAAGCCCAGCTCAACATCCAAGTCACCATACCCCAGCCATGACGCCCAAGCTGCTGCAACCAGCAGCCAACCTGCAGGGATTGGGATTTCCATCAAGCAGGAAACGGTTATTGGAGTCTCAATCAAGCAAGAGGACTCGTCCTTGACAGAAGGTGAGGTTGATGGTGGCCTGGAAGAGTGCCTGGAGAAGCTGGGTACGATCAAAGCCAGACTCAAAGACCTCATGCAGGGCACGCGGTTGGAACAGCAACGCAGCGCCAGCTTCCGTGGGTAGTCGTCAGGCAAATGAAGTGGCATCGAAGCCAAGGCCATCGAATGCCTGTGGTTGCTGAATTTTGTGTCCTGTGATTATAGAGGTGTATTATATTATTATGTTCCTGTTTTGGGGGAGTTGTTTGTTGTTGATGGAGAGTTAATCCTGCTTATGGTGGTTAATAAAATGCTGCATTTTGTAGAAGCTAAGAGGAATGTGTTGCTGAGTTAACTCTTCCATTGTGTTGTGACCGAGTTTTCTTCTATTCTGTCGCTGAGTAACCACTTCCGTTGTGTCGTGACTGAGGGCCCGTTGGATGAGTCAGGGCTAGTTACTAATTGGGCTAAAAAATAACTTAAATTAGTTAAGATTGGTTAGCTAGTTGGCTAACAACTAGTTGAAGACTTGTCTAAAAAAAACTAATCTACCTATTAGCTTTTCCGTTTAGATGCACTAGAACTAATTTTTAGCTAACAATTAATCCTTGTATCCAAATATGCCTCGAGTTTGGATGCAATTCGTGAGACAGCACATAACTCACCTGGACCTTGACGTCGAGCAAATGTAACAATATGACATCTGATGCGGGACCACGTGCGGCACGATGAGCAACTCGACGTCCCAAAAACGCAAAAACAACGAAAGTGCTGAGTGAGCTGCGGAGTGAGCGAGCTCCAAAGTGCTGAGCTTGCCCATCGCTAATTGTTCAATATGAATGAGCTCCAAAAGTGCTAAAAGTAAATGAGCTCTTCGGAGCTTGCCAATCGCTAATTGTTCAATCAACCTACGTTAAAGAGGGGCAGAAACAAATAAGAGCATTTCAATACGAGCATTTCTTGAGCAACAACACACGAACATCAAAACCCAACGCATCACTCGTCAGAATGGTGATAACAAAGTGAAGGAACACACGAACATAAAAATCCAACATCAACACATCACTTGCCAAAAATCCAAAAGGATCATCGCTTACAATAGTCTCCAACTGGCATGCCAAACATAATGTTATGCGGCTAAGTGCACCTCCATGTCTCCAACTCAAACCAGAGTTCAAAGCAGGATACAACTACCAATGTCCCAAATAAGGAAACAGCAGGCAATCTAATAACCACCATCAAACTCCAGCGATACACATACACCAAGCTAATATTTGGAATCCCGAGACTTCTTGCACTACATGACATAGTAATGCTGGGGAAACATCAGTGCCTTCTCCTGGGTGGGGTCCTAGAACGAGCTCTTGGTGGTGACCTGACAGAAACACAAAAGTACCAAATAAAGTCAGCAATATTTCATTTAATTAGTGGCTGGGCAACAAGCCGAGCATCAACAAAGAACTGAGGGTAAATAGTAACAGTAGACCCCTTGTATACAACAACAACAACAACAACAACATAGCCTTTCAGTCCCAAGCAAGTTGGGGTAGGCTAGAGTCGAAACCATCCAAGAGCCCCAAGTCACGGTTCAGACACTTCAATAGCCGTTTTCCAAGTACTCCTATTCAAATATAGATCTCTAGGTATATCCCAAGCTTTCAAATCTCTTTTTATTGCCTCCCCCATGTCAATTTCGGTCTTCCTCTATCTCTCCTCATATTATTAGCTTGGCTTAGGACTCCACAATGCACTAGTGCCTCTGGAGGTCTTCTTTGGACATGGCCAAACCACCTCAACCGATGTTGGACAAGCTTTTCTTCAATTGGTGCTAGAAGGAACACCAATTGTATTAAGTAGACCCCTTGTATATCTTATAATAATCAGAAGGAACAGGGGGCATTTATTAAGCAATTATATTGAGGCAAGCCAAATATAAGAAAACTGAGAAAGTTAACATGGCTCTTCTGGAAATGCCAGGCATTGGTAAGACAACACCTTAAGAGAAAAAAATGTCTCAGGAAAACATACTCAATGACAACATGAACTACCTCTAAGAACCAAGCAGGTAACCTACTTTTTACCACAGATTCTGGAAAGTCGGAAGCATGATACCTTTCGATAATGGATGTGGTCTAGAGCCAATTTCCACAAGAGCAAAAAGTGACAAGACAAATGAAAGGTCAATAACTTTTACTGCAGTCAGTTTGCATACCAGTTTCAACTCCATGTTGATTCAGTGCAGTTTTAACTAAAAAAAATATCAATCCATAACTCTAGTCAAATTGGCTTGTCTGTTACACTAATGACCAAGTAACTGGTGCAATTAGCTCTGACCATTTCTAAAACCTCCTTCCATCACCAAATCAGGATCAGATCAAACCTTTCTTCAGATATTATTAAACACCAACAAATATTGAGCATTGTGAAACATGTACTTCCCAAATATTTGGGTCCAACAAACCAACACAGCTAGTACAAAAAGGGGAAGGAATCCAACAAACTAACACAACTAGCACAAAAAGAGGAAGTAAAACTAGTAGTGACCTTGCCCTGTTTTTCCCATACCAAAATTGCAGGGGAAAAAAAGAAGCAAATACCTTTTCCGAGCATTTCTGCGCTTGGCAGGGCCACTGCTAAATGCCCAATCGACACTCATTATTTGTTTATAAAGCTCAGCTCCATCCAGTTCTTTTATTGCAGCCTGAGCTTCTTCAAACTTCTCATATTCAATCAAAGCGTACCCCTGTACAGAGAAAGGGGCAAAAGTAAAAACCAATGCTTGGGAGAAGATAAAAAAAAAAACTGGTATTTAAACAACAGATACCACATATAAAGGTACTCATTTCGTCATTTGCAAGATCACATATATATAGGAGCTTCCACCCTAAGTCGTTTGCTAATTACTATCAAGGGTTGCTTTCAAGAATTATATGTTAAGAATGTCAAATTCTAAAATGAGGAATATTGTGATGCAGGCAGCAAGCCAGCAAGCTAAAGAGTATTTAAGTAAAATAAAACAGACCTTGACAAATCCGGTACGACGGTCCAAATTCAAATGCAGGTTTTTGACCTGCCCAAATTCTTGGAAAGCATTTTGAAGATCTTCTTCTTGAGCTTCTTCATGCACTCCAGTGACCAACACAATCCATCCTTCAATTGCTGCAACAAGAGAACAAAATAAACATACATGAACTCAAAGTGGAACTAATTATCATCATAGAGAAGAACCTTCTACAAAAGTAAAAGAACTCTGCAGACTTCATTAAGTTATTGTTTTTTGAAAAACAGTGTGATCAATTTGCTTTATTTTACCTAGAGTACAAATTTATAAAGGCACATCTAACCAATCACAGTTCAACTGGTGACAGATTTTTTTTTTTTTTTTTTTTGAGAAGTTACTAAATTTTGTGACGTGGGCAAACATAGGCATCGAATTAACATGAACTAAAAGAGAGGTATAAAGCTCCAAATGAAAGGATGCAAGGGAAAGAACAAAACAAAACGCTAAGAGGCTCAGTTGTGCCTACAGGAACCAAAACTTCAGGATTACAGAATCAAATAATGGTGTATAAACAGTAGTCAGGTTGAAAATAACTCTCTTTGAATAGCTACAAAAAAAGTAAAAGAACTTTTTAATTTATTATATCCTCAGCCCATCACTAACAACTAACAAGCTAATTAACATTGATACCTTGACAGCCTTCAGCTCACATCAATAACCAACCTCTATGGTGTCAGAAAGAACTGATAACCAAAAGGCAGGAAGATAAACAGACCAACAAAGAACATAATACTCTGCGCACATTACCATGTGATATATGAGTAAAATGAACAATCATGCTCACAGAAGGAACTGAAATTTCCATTCGAAATAATATAGAAGTTCCCTAGACAAACCCTAGAGAAATCAGAGTAGTCCATATTTGAAGTGGAAACTAACCCAATGTAGAATTAATTGATCAATGTGAAACCTTTGGGCTCTTTGAACCCCATTGGACATTGGTCTTGACTAAAATCAGAAAAATGATGAGGGAAAAAACAGGGAACAATCCACTGCAGCAACCCAAAGCCCCACTTCCACATCCACATAAAAAAAAATCGATCTTTTCCACATCGCAACAAGTACTGCTAACTGGACCATGGAACTAACCGATCAATGCGAAATCTTTAGGTTCTTCGAACCCCCAAAATCCGCTCACATTACAAAGAAAGCAATACATCAAGGCAGCACACATACCAACTTACATAGGCTTTTGGATCCTATAATAGAGTTGAGATCAAACAATCCTACTTGCCTCATCAGTACTAAATTGCCAAGAAAACCTAATCGGTTCAAGCAAATCTTTGAGAGAAAAAAAACAAAGAAAGAGGGGGAGGCGTACATTGGATGGGTCCCGGGCCGCCGAGAGAGTCCAGGTCGGCGCGTCCCCCGCGCCAAAGCGCGAGTCGCGGGGCGCGGAGGAGTTAGGGTCCTCGCGGAAGCCGCGGCCCTTGGTCCTACGCGGCGCGTCGTCGCCCGCGATGGTGGAGCGGAGGCGGGAGGCGGGGGCGGGGGCCGGCGCCGGATCCGGCCCGGCGTCCTCGTCCATGAGGTCGTCGTCGTCGAGGTCGAAGTCGACCACCTCCACGTCGGCGTTCGTCACCGCCGCCATCGCTGCCGCTGGCGCCGCCGCCGCCTGGGTTCGGTTGGATCGGGTTGGGGGAGAGGAGACGAGACCTACGGCTACGGGTTTGGGACTTTTGGGGTTCGGGAATCGCGAGTCGCCGAGTCGGTGGGGCGTGGGGTTACGGAGTTTTTCAGAGGAACCCCTGCGATATTCTTTTATTTGGTTCTGGTTTAGATTTGGGGTTACGAATCAGTATAGCACTTTCGTTTGTATTTGATAATTATTGTCTAATCATGGCCTAACTAGGCTCAAAAGATTCGTCTCATAATTTATAATTAAACTATGTAATTAATTATTTTTTATCTATATTTAATACTCCATACATATGTCAAAGATTTGATGTGATGTGAGAGAGTGGAAAAAACTTGCAATCTAAAAAAGGCCTTGTTCTATAGAGCTAGACGCCTCTGACAGGCTTGCAGTAGTTCTTTTCCTATGCGGTGCTAGCAGTACAACAGTCCACGTAAGATACGGCGTATCGGCCAAATCGGTCAATTGATTTTGCCCGTGCATAACCCTAGCATTCCCAACAAATATAGCCCGGCCAAATTCACACACACACACATCTCTCTCTCTCTCCCGGCCAACAGAGGGTGGGGTTTGCTTAGTGGAACACCTCTATTGCCTGTGTTAGTCTTGTTCGACAGCTCGACGCATGTTTTCGCATCAAGGTTTTTTCTCATTTCTTTTTAGAAATGATTCTATGCTCAATTATAATCACTTCGTGGAAAAAAAAAAGAATCGGATCTAGGTGATTCTCCTTGAAACATAATGGTATTCTATGTGTTCTAACTTCCAATGGCTATCCAACTCGCGAGTCTCAGGGTGCAAAATGCTACCCGAAGGTATGGGTACAAGTACGAATTTTTACCTATTATGCAACTCATTGCGACGGGGTATTACTCCATCAATATCTTACTTGCCTCTCGTCACCGTCCAATAAAAAACTATTCATTCATCATGTTCTAATGCAACCCAACTATTCCAATTAATAAAAGATAAGGAACAAACAACTTTGTAGACTGGGTCGACGTGTTCACACATGAGCCATATGTTCGAAAACTTAGGCCTAGGCCACAAAATTTGTCATGATGCGCTGTCTGTGACCTAGGCCAACTCAGCTAGCCGTTTGATCCTGAACAGATGGCTCTCAACAAGTAATAAACACAGTCATCAGACTCTATCGTATTAATTATGGACTACTTAAACTAATCTAAATCATTAGATGCTTGTCACACGATCGTCGAATGGATAGCCTGTGACATTCTTGATGTTTGTCTTTGTCTCCCCAATTGTGGGCAGTGGAGCGCCCACTATAATAGGGTGAGGTAGCTGCCATAGCTTGTTGTGATAGGAGTATAGGACACCTCCTTCCCTGTTCACCTCTAACGGCCAGGTCCATCGCCATGGGTGGCCTGAAGCTTTTGTAGTGCTTGATTTTAGAAGAGGAAGAAAGGAGTCATGAAGAGGTATGAGCCAACAACTAATTGGCTTTACTATCGCTCAAATACTTACTAATAAGATAGAAAAGCAACGAAAAAGTCTCTTTTACTTCCCTAATCTACTACTATTGTTTGTTTTTATTTTTCAAACTATAAAATAAGAAATTTTACCCACTCAACTCTAAAAATGTTTAAATTATCTCCCTGCCTAAGTTAGAATTGGTTTTCAAGGTTGTTTCATCTTTTTTTAGTTTAAAAGTCTAGTAAATACCTAATAAGATTTTGAACCACAAAAAATGTATCTAAACTTCTAGGAGTTTTGAAAATAAATTCCTAGAGATAGACTCGGACACAACAAATCAAATAAAAATTTAGACCTCACAAAAATATCTCTAGAAGCTTCAAAGATATATTTAATTATAGGAAAATAGGAAAAATATCTAGAAAATGTAAAAAGAATTCTAAAACATTCTAGTTGATGTGTAATGCATCCTAAAATCTTTAAAGAACAATATACATTTAACACAAAATGCACCCATGCTAGTTGCATCTTGTGTCTTTATTGTGGAAAGTCTCTAAGTTGTTTAGACATTGATTAGAATAACTTGGAAATTTTCCATATTTTTCTAGATATCCTTTTCCCATTTACTATACTTTCAAGTACTCAAAGCATTTTATTTTTGTTTGTAGTGTCCTAATTTATCTCTAGAATTTTTCTCATATTTTTATAAGCTTAGAGACATTTTTCGGGATTATAAAAACTTAACATGTATCTACCATATTGTTTAATAGATATTTACCATATTTAGCAATTTTAACGGTCGAGGAGGAGAATCACACGCAATGACAGTAGTTTTTTTTTTGAGCAAAACACAATGACAGTAGTTGAGAGAACTCAAAGGTATACTTTACAAAAAAGGCAACCAACCCAATTGTGTGTTGTTTGCCTTTGGTCCAGCCCAATTGTTGGAAAAAATCCAAATTACTCCCCTCAAATTTGATATATGTCCATATTAACCCCCCCAAAACTTACATTTGGTTCAATTTACTCCCTCCAACTATTTCAGTTGGTCTAGTTTACTCCTTAACATGATTTATTGTTTTTGTTTTCCACGTATTAGTTGAGTCTTAATATCAACTTTTGTGATATGATAGAGGACATCATAAGTTATGTTAGAAAAATATATCTTAACTTTTTGCCACTATTTTGATAGCTTAGGAAATTTAATAATAAATTAACACTAGAGATACAATATCGTATAAAACATAATGATGAAAAATTCATAGTGCATTTTTCTAATACAAAATACAATGTCCTCTATCACCTCACAAAATTTGAAACTAAAATATAATTTATACATAGAGAAACAAAAAAGAAAAATCTCTTTAAGGTGTTGATTTAACCAACTTAAATAGTTCGAGAAAGTAAATTGAACCAAATGTTACGTTAGAGGGTTATTTGGACGTAGGTCAAATTTGGAGGGAGTAATATGGACTTTTTCCCCCAATAGTTGGATAGCAGCGTCAAGCCCAAAGGTGAAAAGGCCCAAAATGATTGGTTGCTTTCGGCCTCCGCCGGCGACTCACTTGCTCCCTTGCCGTCGGGCGTCGGCCTCCGCCGGCCGCCTTTGAGGGCCTGAGGTTTGAGAAGCCACGCGCTGCACCTAGTCCGAGCTAGGAGAGGAGCTGCACGTACTGTTTGCTGCCTGCGTGCGCCGTGCTGGCCTGCCGGGCGGCAAGCTGCCATTGACGGGGATGGAGAGGAGAGAAGCAGCACTGGCCTGTGAAGCCAGCCGTTCGGCTGTTGCTGCCAAGAGCTGCAGGCACAGAATACTATAGGAACAGTAAAAATTGCAGCAGCAGCAATGAGAAGAAGCTCAAGCAAACGATCCGGGTTCGTTCGTGCTTAGTACTTAATAATTGGCACTCCTACATCATACATGCACGGTAATATACAAACAGAACGTCTAGCACCCGGACGTTCGGACGTAGCTCCCTGCTTCGCCCTGTCCGCTCGGACTCGCGGCAGATCCGCCCCGCCCTGCCCCACTCCGTTTCACGCGCTGCCCCGCCCACTCCGTTGCACGCGCATGGGGCCTGTGGGATTGTCCCGCCCGCTCCTTTCTAGGCGCGCACACAGTTCCGCTCGCTCTGTTTTACATGTGCACGCGGAAATTTGAAAAGCAGGTATACTTTTGCCACCTTTATAACTAGTTTTACAACATCCAGAGGAAAACACTTGCAACATGCGTTTGGAAACAAATGAAACATAAATTTGCAACATACATGTGAAAGACATTGTAATACATGGAACATCCAGATCTACTTTGTAACACCCAAATAAAACAGTTGCAACATCCGTCTGGAATAGCTAGCTAAAACACTTGAAACATACACTTGCAACATACGTGTGTATCCATTACAACACATGCAACATCCCCGATATAACTTTCCAACGTCCATATGAAACACCTAAAACACTTACAACATGTGTATAAAACACTTGCAACATGCGTATGAAACACTTGAAACATACCCCTTTGCAACATGCTTTCAGCGCAACATCTTCTTCCTACTTGGGCGAATGGAGGCTCGTCGGCGTGGAGAGAGAGGGGGAGCGAGGCCGCCGGTCTTGCACAAGCTGGCGCCGGAGAAGGATGGAGGCGCTCGGATCTTGCCGCTCCGGATCTCGGAGTGGGGCGCGACAATGAATCGAAGGTCGTCGGTCTTGCACGAGCTGGCACCGGAGAAGGATGGAGGCGCTCGAATCTCGCTGCTCCGGGTCTCGCTGCTATGGATGATCTCGGAGTGGGGCATGACAGTGAATGGAGCGCGGCGTAGCCGGGGTGCGCGCGCGGCTTCGGCAGAGGCGCGGCGTGTGCGGGGGCGCTGCTCGGGTAGAGGCACGTCGCGTCCGATGGAACAAAAGCCACGGTGAGGGAAGGGGGCTGAAGGATGAGCGGAGTGGGATTATTTGAGAGAGATGGGAGCCGGTCTTACGCCGGTCAAGCTGCGTCTGGACGGGAGTCACTGGATGGATGCCCGTGGAGAATTATTATCGATATACAGATGTCGATACATATGCCAACTTTAGGGGAAATAAAATGAGATGTCATAGCTAGGTAATGATGGCCACCGTTGGCCTACACACAAGAAAGCTCTGCCATGTGATATGTTGGACGACACCTGGTATATATGTATGTTAGTATATATAAAATACATTTGTTCTCAGCTTTGTTAAAAAGGGTAGAGCTTACATTAATACAATTCCTTGCACACACACACACAAGCCTCGCTTATATATGTGTCTCCCACACACTGGACGCTTACACATTCCAAATCGAAGAGTAAGTACTCTACTTAGTAGACTATAGGACACTTACACGCGGAGATTAATTAGATACGTATATATATACTAGCTATCTGGAATATATATCTAATTTGGAAGAAAATAAGAAAAGAAAAAAAAAAAAAAGCGCGGTATACGTACACCCATGCATTTGCTTATATATATGGCTAAATACATAAAAAAAACTTATAACG